ATTGCTAGTGTATAAAAATACACTTGATTTCTACATGCTTATCGTGCAACTTTGCCACCCCTATGTAATAGTTCTAGGAGTTTCTTTGTAGACTTGAGATTCTCTGCAGAGAAGACCACATCATCTGCAGATATAAATGGTTTCTTCCTTTTCTATCTGCATGCCTTCCCCCACCCCCATCATGCTGTCTAGCACTTCCAGAACCAAGCTGAATAACAATGGGATAGAGAAGCAAACATTGTCATCTTGGTCCAGGTCTTTTCCTGAGGAAAGCACTATCTTTCATTAATAACTAGGTGTGAAGTTAGGGAAAGAGCAAGGATGTCAGTTTAAAGACTAAGGTGTGCCTGACTCAAGCCATGGTATTTTCCATTGCTCTATATGCTTGTGAAAGTTAAACAGTGAACCAAGAAGGCTGATGAAGAACTGATGCCTTTGAATTGTACTGTTGGTGAAGAATATTGACTATTCCATGGACAGACAGGAGAACAAACAAATATATCTTGGAGGAAGTGCAACCAGGGTGCTCCTTAGAGGTGAGAATGATGAAACTTCATCTCACATACTTTGGATATGTTCTCAGGAGAGGCAGGTCCTTGGAAAAGGCCATCATGCTGGGAAAAGTAGGGGGTCACCTAAGGAGAAGACCATCAGTAGGATGGACTGACACAGTGAGGGCCCCAAGGGGCTTGAGTGCAGTAGAGATTGTGATGATGGTACAGAATGGGACGAGGTTTGGATCTGCTGTCCATGGGGTTGCTACGAGTCGAAGGGGACTCAATAGCACCTGACAACGTCAACAGCAATGACATAAAGTTAGCCGCAGGTTTAGGGGGGTTCTTTTGGTAAATGTCCTATATTAAGAAGAATCCCTCTAGTCCTTGCTTTCTGACAATTGCTGCTCTGTTTGTTAACCCAAGCACATGTGTCCCACTCTGGCAGGCACTTTCTCTGCATCGATTGACGCTCTGGTGGGATTTTCCTCTTCGGCTGTGATCATGGTGGGTTGTATCGGCTGAGTTTTGGGTATTGACCTTGTTTTGCTCCTGCTGCGTCCAGTTGCATGCTGTCAGGACGTATGTATGTAATGCCACTCTCTCTGAATCTCCACGCTGCAGGTTAGGGAAATGTCCTCGGGCGTCAAGAACACATGCAGAAGCTGTCCTGAGAGACACTGACCAGACTTGGCTTTGTTAAGGAGCCTTGTTTCTGACGGGAGGATGACACTCAGGAGACTTGAGGGCCGTGTTTTCTGGAGAAGAGAAATTGTTGCCACTCGAATGGGTTTGTCTTAATTCAGACAAATTTGACGTCGTTCAGCGCTGGTATTAGACATATAACAACGGGGTTTCTTTCCTTTGAGAACCAATTAGTGGTCAAGGGCAGGATGCTGGCTTCTCCCTGCAGCTGGGTCCTGAGTGTCCCTGTGTAACATGCAAATTAATTCCATCTTAATCACCAGCTCTTGACCAAACAGGCTGGGTCACTGAATAGGACAAGCAGCTCCAGGCTAGATTTTACCTCCGGCCTTCTCCCTCCCTCTCTGTCTCTTTTTCTGTCTATCTCTCTCCCACCAGCCTCTCTCCTTGACTCCATTCCATCTCTTTCCTCCTTTCTCCCATCTCTGTTTCCTCAGCCTCCATCTCTGTCTTTCTTCTATCTCGCTTCATCTCATTTCTCTCTGTCTCTCACTTCTCTCTCCCTCCCTCCCTCTCTCTCCTCTCTCCTCTTCTCTCCTCTCCTCTTTTCCCCTCCCCCTCCCCCCTCCCTCTCCCTTTCCCTCTCTCTCTGTCCCTCTTTCCTTCCCTCCCTCCCTCTGCCTCTCTTTGACTCCATCCTGTCTCTTTCTACCTGTCTCTCCATCTCTATTTCCTCAGATTCTCTCTCTCACGTTCTCTCTAAACACCCATCTCTCTTTCCCCATATCTCTGGTTCTTTCTCTATCTCTTCTTTTTATTTCTCTGTTCTCTCTCATTCTGGCCCTCTCCTTCTCGGTCTCTTTTACTTTCCCTCCCTATCTCTCTTTTTTTTCTCTCTGTCTGATTCTCTGTTATTCTCTGTCACACACTCTTTCTCCCTCCCTCTCTGCATGCATTTACCTCCCACTGCCTCCCACTCTCAGAAGTCCTTTCTCAGTAAATCAGTCTGGGACCCTGACCCTTGCTGATGCCGTAAATTGTCCTATTTGTGAGGAGAAACGGTGTCAGGGTTCTGAATGGCTTGGACGGCATCCCAGGCGCGGGAGCTCACGGCAGAGGTGAGGAAGCAGCGTGTGACCCAGTGCGTGAGAGCAATTAGATTCAGGGCACGCATCTCCCCATCGCCGGCAGCTGGTCTGAGAATCTTCTGAAAGCAAACCGGTTGGAGGGCTGACCCCAGCCAGTGCAGACTTTTCACTTCTCCTTGGTCAACTGAGTCAGGCGAGGGTGGGTGTGTGGCTCTGCTGAATAAGTGTGCACAGGTGTGTCTGTGTATGTACATGTGAGTGTGCACAGGTATGCCTTTTCATGCATGTGTGAATTTACATAGGTGTGCCTAAGTGTACACATGGGAGTGTGCACAGCTGTGCCTGTGTGTTCACAGGTGAGCATGCACAGGTGTGTCTGTGTCTACACATGAGAGAGTAGAGAGGTGTGCCTATGTGTACACATGTGAGCATACACAGGTGTGCATGTGTGAATGTGCACAGGTGTGTCTGTGTGCGCACCTGTGAGTGTGCATGTGTGTGCACATATGAAGGTGCAGGGGTGTACATGTGTACACACATGTGAGCGTGCACAGGTGTGCATGTGTGTACATGTGTGAGGGTGCACAAGTGTGCCTATGTGTACACAGTGAATGTGCATAGGTGTGCCTCTGTGTACACATGTGAGGGTGCAGAGGTGTGCATGTGTGTACACAGTGAGTGTGCACAGGTGTGCATGTGTTTATACACACGTGAGTGTGCACAGTTGTGTCTATATCTACATGTGTGAGAGTGCAGAGGTGTGCCTATGTGTACACAGTGAGTGTGTACAATGCATGTCCAGGTGTGCCTGTGTATACACATGTGAGGGTGCACAGGTGTGCCTATGTGCACACAGTGAGTGTGCACAGAAGTGCCTGTTTGTACACATGTGAGGGTGCACAGGTGTGCCTATGTGTACACAGTGAGTGTGAAGAGGTATACATGTGTGTATACACATGTGAGTGTGTGCACGGTGGGGCCTGGCTGCAGAGGGGTGCAGCATTGCCCCTAAAGCTTTTTTTGTTGACCACTGTGGCCTGGGACAAGAAGATGACCTGAAGACACTTGTTTTCAGTGGTGAACCTCACTGTTCCAATCCCCAGACCAAGCAATTTCACAGGGAGTTTCTTTTTCTTCTGTTTTTCACTCAAGACATCAAAGCCATTTCCTGTCCGGTTAACACCCTTCCCCTTGGCTCCGAGTGTCCTTTGTGTGAGCTGAGAGGCTGATGTGGAAGTTAGGCCAGGCAGAAGGATTGGGGAGCCAGGCGTCAGCTCATGCTGCTGAGGGGACAGTGATGGACTGGTGTCTCCCCAGCTCGTTTATATGCATATGCATAAGTAAGCACGTCGGTTTATGAGGGAAGATGTCAGATATCATAGCCTCCTCTGATGAGTAGTGGGCATCATGGTGACACGATAGAGCCCACCAGCTCCTGTGTCACTTAGAGATCCCTAGTGGTGCAGTGGGCCGGGCATTAGGCAGATAAAGATCTACAGCCTCGGAAATCTTAGGGATCTGCTCTGTCCTGTGAGTCAGAATCAACTCCGTGTCTCGGGGTAGATGGTCCAGTGGATTAGATGCTGGACTCTTAGCTGACAGGTTGGTGGTTCGAATCTGCCAACTTCTGTAGAGACTTACAGCCTCTGATGGACGCCCTGTGGGGCAGCTGTCTTCTGTCCTGCAGGGTCATTGAGCTGAAAGTGACGTGACGGAGCTATTTTATTTGTGATATGTTGGGGTGTCTGGTGTTCTTCAGCAGGGCTCTAGGGCCCACAGAGTTCCCGGGTTCTCCTTCTCCAGGGGTCAGTGACTTCTCTCTGGGGTCTCTGTGGGCTCAGAGCTGGGGCCGGCCTGAGGATCCAGGGAGGTTCAATGCTCCTCTTCTTCAGTGACAATGAGGCCATGTGGATCTCCCTCCTGCTGCCTGGGTGGCCACTGGTCTCTGCTCGCCCACTCACTGTATGCACCCCCACTTCTCCATGAGCTGTGGATGCTCTTTTGCCTGACCCCTCCACCCAGCAGTGCCCCTACCTGTTCGTCCAAGCCCACTGGCTCCTGACCAGACATGGAAAGTTCCAGGCCTCTCTGGAGATCTACCGATGGCCCAGTTCTCTGTACTCTGGCCAGTGAGGAATGGTCACCACCTACGGCCCCCTGAATCAGGGTGTGGCCTCGAACCCCTGAGCCCTCAGACTACACACACACTTGGCTTGTTACACTTTTTCTCAGCCTGAGAATCCTGACCCGAATAGTAGACCCAGGGCCACCCAGCTCTGCTCAGCCCCTCTGGGTGGGGGCACATTAGGAGAAGAGGGGAGCTGGGTACCCCTCTCTGCCATGCTTGAGGTGGCTCGTGGCATCTGGATGTGGCTTCTCCTGCTCCCCAGCTCATCAACAGTGTCTTTTAGATTAGACAGCCCATCACCATGGAGGTGACTTCACCTGACAGTGACCCTGCGGGACAGAGAGGGACAGCCCTGGGTTTCTGAGGCTGCTGTTTCTACAGGCTGAGCTCCACTGTAAACCCCCGCCCCCAGCTCTCTGATGTGTTATAGTGACACTGTACAGCCGGAGGCTGGAGGCTTCCAGGGAGGGCCTGCAGGGTGAGGTGCTGGTGTGAGAGGGGCCGAATCATGAGGCCCTGGCTTATTCACGGTGACTTAGAGGAAAAGCCGGTGGCCTTGCAGGTCCCCACCGAGTGTCCCGGCTGTGAGGACACATGCTCTACCCCCATCTGCTTCACTGACCATCTCCTCTTCTTTCCTTCCAGAACCTCAGGCAGCACACCCAGGCCACCAACAAGAGCAACCAAGTCTTCTTCTACTGCGCTTTCCTGGACTTCAGGTACAGAGGGCGACAGAGGGCCCAACTCTGTGGGCAGCAGGCTGGGAGGGGAGGCAGCCAGGCCAGGCCTGTCACAGCCAGCCCTGGTCCTGCCCACCCAGGTCACACCCAGGACCCTGTCCATCTGAGCTCCCCTCCTCTCTTACGTCCTCCTGGGACCTGTCCATCTGAGCTCTCCTCCTCTCTCACCTCCAGCCTTGTCAGCCTCCAACCTGCTTTCCTCCCTATGGTCTGTCTTTGTAAGGAGGTTGTGTGGGTGGGACCACAGTGCAGCAGGCTCTGGAGTCTGGCTTCTCAGTCAGCAGGAGGCACCCAGAGTGCTCCTCAGCTCGCCCATTTCTGTCTTTTAGATGCTGAGTACTGTTTCATGGTGTGGAGCTAACAATGGTTCGTTTTTCTGTTCTCCAGCAGAGGAGCATTAGGGTTGTTTCTTGTTTGGGGTGATGTTAAGTAAAGCTGGATGTTGTACCAGCTGGCATTCCCGGGGAAAACCCCATTTGTCACGTTGCGTTTTCCTTTTTACATATCGCTGGCTTTAATTTACTAGCATTTACAGCAACGCTTATGAAGGCTATTAGGCTGTAGTTTTCTTTCTTCCCTTTTTTTTTTTGTTTTTGTATCAGGGCAGTGGTACTGCAGTAAAAGGTCCATTTCCTGATACATTTGGAATTGTGTGCATGGAATTGATGCTGCTTGTTCCTAAATATTTGATGGAATTCTCCAGTAAAGCCATCTGAGGCTGTGGTTTTCTTTGTTGGCAGGTGTTTAACTACAAATTCAATTTCTTTAATGGATACAGAACTATTTAGGTCATCTATTTCTTTTTAAAGGCAGTTTGGCAGTTTATGGCTCTTTGTCTATTTCAATGTGGGGGGTGTGTGTGTGTGTGTTTTAATGTGTACAATCTTTTATTTGGACTTTTAAAGACTGCTTCTTTTAAAAAATATTTACTTACGTTGTTACTGTTGAGGGGAGCCCTGGTGGCGTCATCTGCAGCAAGTTGCACCACTAACCCAAAGGCCACTTGTCTTGGCAGTTGGAAACCACCCGGGGCTCCAAGAGAAAAAGACGACTGGTTCCTCCCGCTGCGAGTTACAGCCTCGGAAATCCCTTTATGGGAGGGTCTGTGTGATTGAGGACCAGCCGGAAGGCAGTGTGTTTTCACTCTGAGTTGTGAGGTGCTGCTGAGACCCTACAGAGCAGAAAGGCAACAGTGTCCATGTGTCCAGTTCAGGGACAGTTGTGCAGACACCTTCATCTTCCTTCTCTGGGTTGTTCCCTCACCCACCTTCTCTGCCATCAGCTAATTCTCAGCCCTTTTCACTCACCACAGCCTGGCCAGCCCTGCACGGTCCTCACAATCATGGGCCTAGCTATTACGGCCACTGTGGATTCATCTCATTGAGGGTTTTCCTCTCTTTCCACACCTTTTCCCTTTGTCAAGCTTGGTGTCCTTTTCCAGGAATGGTGCCTCTTGATAACGTGCCCAAAATATGGGAGACAGCGTCTCACCATCTTTGCCGCTAAGGAACACCTGGTTGCATTTCCTCTCAAACAGATTTGTTTCTTTGGGCAGAACATGGGATACTCAGTACCCTTCTCCAACACCACAATACCAAGGCATCAGTTCTTTTTCTGTCATCGTTAGTCATCGTCCAACATTCAGATGCATAGGAAGAATTGGAAATACCATGATGTGGGCCAGGCACACCTTAATCCTTAATGTGGCATCCTTCTTATTTAGCACTTTAAGAGGTCCTTGACAACAGATTTATTCAATGTTGTCACTGTCAGTTCACCAGCAACTTAACAGCAACACCCTGATGGGGGTAAGCACGATGGAGATACACCACTCTGGGAGAAGATCAGAGCGTCAACCTAGCTCAATTTTATTGGGATATGCAGTGCACTTATATACAAGCATGTAAACAGGAAGACAGGAGAGGGTGGGCTTACAGACATGGGACACGCGGATTGGATAGGAAAACCTCAGCCTCATATGGACCACTCCCAGCTCAATAGATGTGGCAGCCGTCTTCCCAGGTGGAAAGCTTTCTCAAGCCAGTACTGCCAAACACAGGGGAGCTTTCTCTATCCTGGCAACACAATGTAATAGGCTGTTTGATTTCCTGATTGCTACTTGTATGGGCATTGATTATGAATCCGAAGGAAATGAAATCCTTGACAGTGTCAATCTTTTCTCTGTTTATCATGATGTTGCCTATTGGTTGCCTTATAAGGATTGTTTTCTTGATGCTGAGATGTAATTTGCATTGAAGGTTGTAGTGTCTGTAAATGCTTCATTGTCTTCACTTTCTGCAAGCAAAGTTGTATCATCTACACAATGCAGCTTGTTGATGAGTCTTCCTTCAAGCATGATGCCACGTTCTTTGTTGTGGCCTAGTGGCAAGAAGCTGCGCTGCAATCCCAAAGGCATGAGATTTGAGGCCAGCAGACTCCTCCGCTCTTCAGAAGAAGGGTGGACAGTCTCCTCCCATGTGATTAAGTCCCTCAGAAGACCTGCCAGAGAGTCAGCTATGGGTTGATTCTCAATCTACTGTATGTAACTACAACATACAGATTGAACGGGTGTGGGGAACGGATGCAACACTGACACACACTTTGTGGTTTTAAACCACGCAATGTCTCCTTGTTCTGCTTGAAAGACTATTTCTTGGTCTATGTATAGGTTCTGCGTAAGCACAGTTAAGTGTTCTGTAAACTAGTGCTCTGTTTTACAAAGACGTCAGAGGATATTTTGGCAGATTGTGTTTGTAGGACTTGTTCCATTTGTCTGTTTACGTGGGCACGCAGCTTCTTGTGGGATTCCCTTGTTATCTGTTACCCTGTCTGTAGGGTTTGTAGTGTTGTCCCTCTCTCATTTTTGTTATTTTTAATTTGTATCTTTTCTTTGGTCATTCTCACTAGAGGTTTACACATTTTATTGGTTTTTTCCCAAAGAAACAACTCTTAGTTTCATAAAATTTTCACTATTACATTTCTGTTCTCAATTTAATCAGTTTACCCACTTTTCCTTTAATTTCCTTCTTTTTTATTACTTTGGGTTTAATTTGCTCTCCTTTTTATAATTGCTTGCTTAGCTATTAGAGTTTACCGTCTTGCTAGCTGTTTTCTAATTGTATTGTCTTTTCTTTGCCTAGTATGGTTTTTCCCTGACTTCATTTGGATCTGAGGGGGTATTTTTTTTATGATACTGCTTTTTCCAGTATTGCCTTCAAACTTATACCTTTTGTTCTAACTCTTTTAAAAAAAGTTTTCTCCAGGATTAACAGTGTATGTCTTTAATCCATCTGTCTCTACCTTCAAATAACATTTTCTCATTTCACATGCCGTCCAAGGCATTGAAGCAATTCCACCTATTCACCGTGCTGCTGTTAATTGTACATTTTCCTTTCACATTGCCGTCAGCACACAACACATTGCTATTGTTGTTGTAGACAATTATATTCTAGAGCAATTAAAGATAAACTCAAACCCCAAACTCAATTAGATCAAGTCTGTCCTGACCCACAACAACCCAACAGAAAAGACAAGAACTGCCCCATAGGGTTTCTGAGACTGTGAATGAATATGACAGCAAACTATTCATCTTTCTCCTATAGAGCAGCTGATGGTTTTGAACTGCCAACCTTTTGATTAACATCCCAACACTTAACTTACTGCGCCAACAGAATGTAATTAGAGATAAAATGATAAGTCTTTTTTCTTTCACTTATTCTACTTCTAGCTCTGCTTACATTTTTTGGTGCCTCATCCACAAAGATTCTGAAATTCTGTACAAACTATTCCAAAATAGAGTCAAATGTCTATCTGGCATCATATTTCTTTAACCTTTCTTTTGGTGTATGGCTACTGGCAGAAAATAATTTTCTTGGTCTTTGTCTGAGCAAATCTTTATTCTCTTTCACTTAAAAAAGTATTATTTGATGAAAGTTTACAGAGCAAATTGATTTTCCATTAATCTCCTTCACTTTTGAAAGATATTTATTTTCACTGGCTTCAGAATTCTGGCTCTTTTCTTTTTATCTGTTTCATCCTGTAAGAAATCATACGAATAATACATTAATCCATTTTCTTTTCAAAAGGCCAAGCACTATAAAAATGAGTGACCCGTTAACCTGGACTTCTTACCTCCGTTCGCGCCAGTCTTCCTCACCTGGGAAGTGCTTGGGTGCTTGTTCCCCTCAACAATTCATGTGTAACTTGTATCTATGGTCTTAGAAGAAAAGAGTCCTTCCCCCTCTCCATTCATTTATTGCCTTTTCTGTGGGTTTTGCTCATGTCGTTGTGTACCATGGCGTTAGAACTGACTCATAGCCTACCCTTCAGCAGGTTTTCAGAGGCAGTAAGTCACATGGGAGTAGATTGCCCATCCTTCTCCTGCGGAGTACCTGATGGATTTGAACCATGCTCCTTTGGATTGGCAATGCAACTCCTCACCACTAAGCCACGTTCCATTTCATTGATGGGTAGTATTTTAGGTCATTGTATTTACAATATGGTCTATAGATAGATGGGTAGGTAGATAGATGATAGATGATAGATAGATAGATAGATAGATAGATAGATAGATAGATAGATAGATAGATAGATGATAGACAAAGGCATGTTGGTGGTACAGTAGTTAAGCTCTTGGCTGCTAACTATGTTTTGAACCCACTGTCTGGTTCTAGAAAGATTAGAGTTTAGGACACTCCAGGAGGCAGCTCTGCTCAGTCCTATAGGGTCGCTAAGAATCAAAATTGATTAGATAATACAAAACAACATAGATAGCAAGCACATGGCATATACGCATCTGTATCTTTGTGTATGTGTACCTATCTCTCAAAGCCTCTGCCGCCAAGTTGCGTACGGGCCGTAGTGACTCCCGCCTGGGTTTCTGGGTCTGCACATCTTTACTGGAGCAGACAATCTATCTTCCTCTCTTGGGGTGGCTGGTGGATTTGAACTGCCGACCTTTCAGTTAACAGCCTGACATGGTCTGTACTATGCCACCCTGGTCTCCCCCCACCCCCTTTTTTTTCACCAAAGAAAGTATTTTATTCAAGTTCACAAACTAAACTTGAGATACGTTGGGTTTGAATAAAAGAAAAAGGTCAGTTAGGATTCAGAAATAGTTTTCATCTGGTGGAAACTGAAATCAATGTATACACTGTAACCAAGCCCCTGCTGCATGTGGCATTTTTTAAAGTCTTTCTGAGTCTACCAGGCTAAACCTTTTGCAGCCTGTGCTGCTTTGGATTTGATTTTTCCCTTCCCTCTTTCGCTCTTTGCTTTCAGCCTCTTTCTCTGCCTCTGGCTCATCCAATTTGGGTACTGGCCATGCTGGTCTAGAAGGCTCTTTTTGTTTCTCTGAATATTAAACTCCATTTTTGTGTCATCTTTTTCATTGTTCCTATCACATTGCATTTTCTCTTGGTAATGTTTGGGAACCACAACAGTTGCAATCTCCTGAACATAATTCATTAAAACATCACCATCTAATTTGAGAAGACTTTTAAGCCAGCAGAACTCCTGTGGTGCATTCTTTTTTCGCTTTTCAGCATGCATCTCCCTTTTCCACTTACTCTGTAAGCTTTTAGTCTTGTTTCAACCAAGAAAATTAACACACTCACGTGCAGCAAAGGAATCTGCCACCCTGGTTCTTATGTGTATATATTGTTGTTTTGTTAGGCGTTGCTGAGTCGATGTTTGTGTATTTAGCACACAGAGCTCAGCACACACAGCGTCTACACATTGCATGTCTGTGTTCTAACACATGTCTATATTATTCTTCATTTACCCAACCCCTGATGGACATGAAGCTTGTCTGTGATGCTCTCTAGCTAGACCCTGCCTGGCTACCACTGCCTTCTCTGAACAGGATCACAGGAGAGGGACCGAAAAGAAGGCGGGGAAATGTAGAACAAAATTCAAAATGTAAACCCACCAGACTTCCTGGTCTGATAGAGGCTGGTGGGACACCAAAACTGTGGCGCTTAGATACCGTCCAAACCTGGAACTGAACCCATGCCCGGGGGTCATTGTATAACCAAATAACAGACATGCCTAGACAGTGATTAATACCCAGGTGGAGCGGGCTCCCCAGAATAATTCACCATGTGAAACCAAAAGGCAGTGTTCACCTCAGGAGGCAGCAGAAAAGGATGAATGGAAATGGGAGGCACAAGGAGGAAGTGGGATGAGTGCTATTACACTCAGTGCGGAGGTTGACCCCACACACTGGGGCCCATGTCTCAGCGTGCTGTATGGAGACTGGCCAGCAGGGGAGTCACAGGCTGCAGGACAAGCACGTATCAGTCCTCACTTGCTCTTACCCACTCACGTCCCTGTGACAGTGCCCTTGATTCTTGGCACTGACCTGAACGGGCTCACTCTCTAGCCGTTGCTGTCAGTCCAGCTCCTCTGGTGACCAGAGTGGGAACACTGCCTGTGCCTGAGGACCTACGGGGACAGGGAGCCGCTGTGTCAGCCCTCTGATCTGGATGTGGTCCTGATGGCTTCTCTTGTGCCCACAGCTCAGGGAGAGGGGTCTGGTCGGACCAGGGCTGCGCCCGTACAGATGGCAACCTCAGCTTCTCCGTCTGCCGCTGCACGCACCTCACCAACTTCGCCATCCTGATGCAGGTGGTCCCGCTGGAGGTGAGAGCAGGTGGGAGGGGGTGGAGGAGGGGTAGGGGGGAGGGCTTTAGCCATAGGCAGGTGCTGCTGGTCATGGAGACCCTCCATCGAGACTAAGTGGTGTGCCCACCCTATGTGAACCTCCGGGACTCAGTGCAGACCTGCTTCTGGGGGCTCTGAGGACAGACAGGAGGTGGCCATGCCAGTCTGCGTCACCCTGACTCCATGCTGTGTGGGAACGTGACAGGGCATGTCACCCGCAAAGTATGGTTGTAGATCTTGTGCACACATGTCTAGTTGTTGTTGTTGTTGTTTAATGCCGTCGAGTCGTAGACGACTCATAGCGACCCTATGAACAAACAGCCTGAGCACTGTTCATACATAGTTTCCGGAGGCAACCAATTTCGGAAGTGGATGCCGCTCCTGCTTCCAGGCTTGATTTAGTCGGGAAGCTCCAGCCAACACTGTCCACCATGGGTACCCATTACCACGATTGGCACATCACTGTCACAGGCTTCAGCATCACAGCAGCCACGAGTTACCTCTGTACAGCAACGCACAGACCAGTGCTATACCACCTAGAAGAATGCTTGACAGGAAGACAATCTGAACCTGGCCGAGGGCCACAGATGAAAATCACCCACCTTCAGCTTGTCTAGAGCCAGTCACAAATGACACAGATGCAGCCACAGTATGTGCCAAATGTCTGCCTGTGACAGGGTGTGTGGCTGGCATGGGCATCTGGCACAGGAACCTCATTTCCACCCTCTGAGACCATGCCAAGGAGCCCTGGTGGCACAGTGGATAAATAATTAAAAGGTCAGCGGTTCAAGCCCACTAGTAGCTCTGCAGGAGAAATAGGAGGCTAGAGACCCCGTGGGCAGCTCTGCCCTGTCCTGTGTGGTCACTAGGAGTCAGTGTTTGTGGTTTGGTGTTTTGATTTTGCTACTGTGCCAGTGACAGGAGGGACCCAGCCCTTGTCCCCTCCTCTGTACCTGGGACCAAGGAGGTGACACCCAAGTTGGAGACTGTCCCTCAGAATAGGTGCTTTTGCTTAGCTGGCTACACGGTGACCTTCAGGTCAGAGAGGATGGGCACACAGGGAGGCCCAGTGGGTGTGGCCCCTGCCAGCCCGTAAAGTGAACATGGCAATAAGGCGAGTCACGTCAGTTGTGTTTGTGTTAGAGGGAGCCTGACAGCATGGTGGTCACAGAGCTCAGCTGTTAACCAAGAGGTTCAAACACCCAGCTGCTCCGGGGGGACAAAACACAGCAGCCAGCTTCCATGGCCCTGAGCCCTCTGGGGTAGCTCTGCTCTGCCCTACAAGGTTGCTGGGAGTTGACATCTACTTGATGGCAATGGATGTTTTGCTTTTATTGGTAATCTATGAAGTATACAATGGGTGGGGAAGCAAACCCCAAATGCACTCATTTAAATCAGAACCGACTCCTAGCTGAGCCTCCAGCGGGTTTTCAGAGGCTGTAAATCGCACAAGAGGTGATTGCCCATCTTTCTCCCACGGAGCAGTGGGTGGATTCAAACCACCGGAGAGGCCCAGCCTTTAGGTGAGCAATGCCGCTTTCAACAGGCGAGGCTACAAGGCTGCAGCGTGATGGAAAAATTTGAAACATCGTGAGAATAATCAAAATGTGACGTGAGAGACCAAGTGAGCAGGAGCCGTTGGGCGAATGAGGCCGATAGACTTGCTGGACACAGGGAGCCCCGGACGGTCAGATTGCATGAAAGGGCAGGGTGGGCAATGGAACAAGGTAGAAAGCCCTTACTCTGGTTCTGGGAGACAGTTTCTAGAGAAGAGGTGCTCTGAGAAGGCAGATATCCCTGGAGGGTCCCGTCCAGCTGTTTCCAGTCCCCGCTGCCTCAGGCAAGACCTCACAGCTTCCAGGAAGTGGAGTGAACAGGGTGGGAGCCTGGAGGTGCAGCCCCCACCGTCTCCCACGTCCTGACTGAGAACAGACGCCTGTGTGTCTCCACAAGCGGAGATGCAGCCATCAGTGACCGCGCTGAGTGTACACAGTCACCATGTGGCCAGGGAGTCCATGGGCTAGGTCACTCTGACGCGTGACCGCTCTGCTCAGTTCTGGGAAGTGTGTGGGTCTCCATGCGTGGACATGCTGCCATCAGTGACCACTCGGAACATCCACAATGACCATGTGTCCAGGGAGGTTGGTGGCTCGGTCACCCTCAGGTGCAGCAGCTCTGCACAGGTCTGAGAAGGGTGAGGGTCTGGAGAAAGTGCAGACCCCATCCAGCGGGTGTCAGGGCACAGGAAGGCAAGGGTGCCCACCTCCCACATGGCCCAGGTCATCCACAGGGGCAATGCTGGCTGTGACCAGAACATGCATTGTGGGTGGGTATTGAGGGCTTGTGATGGAGGGAGGGTGGGAGAGACTGGTCACTGGGTTAAAACTCAGACCTCAGAGCACTCACACCCACACATATCTAGTCCCAAATCTGTCACTACTCGGGAGAAGTGATGCCAGATTTAGAGTGTCTGTGGGTGTCTCCGTGGGAGCAAATGCGTCTGTTCATTGCCAGGGAAGATTGATCTGAGAGAGGTTTAAAATTATTCGTGCCGAAATGAGCCTTTCATGAGCATTAGCGTGCTAAGGTATGTCATGATTGTCACACTGAGCGTGGGTGTTTAACCCTAGGGCCTGCACCTTGTGCCTGTGGTACACGGCCCACAGCCTCCAGGGCTTGCCCACGCCTCTTTGAGGTCCACTGATTCCTGTGTGACCTCTACTTCCCTACCTGCCCCACATTTGCCTCATGTGACGGAGGGCAGGTAGGGGGATGAGACAGGTTTGACCCTCATCCTGGGAGACAATACTGTCACTTAGCTCTCGTGGGCCATCTGACAGTCCTGCAGGGGGTCTCGTGAGGCCTGGGTCAAGCATGAAGGCTCAGGATGGAGAAGCTCTCATATCTCCTCTTTCTGCACCCTACTCTCCCTCCCCACGCCTCACTCCACCCAGAGAACATTGTCCCCTCCTGCTGTGGCCAGACGTGTTAAGCAAGCTCTTAGCTTTAAGGTTTTGACTAATACTTAATTGTACTTTAAATGAAGGTTGATACAGAATTTAGACTTCCATTCAGCAATTTGTCCAAAAGAGGCTCCTGGACCCCGATTCCCTCCTCACACTGTGTGGACATCCTCACTGTTTCCATTCTGGTTGGCCTGTCTCTGTTCATCTAGTTTCCCCTCTCCTGTGCCTCCTCCTTGATTTACAGCCTCTGATGAACATTTGATCTCACATTGGACTGTCAGGTCTCTGCGTTTTCAGAAGTGTTCGCACAGATACCTTCTGAATAAAGAAAATCCACATCGGGATAGGAGCTGGGGAGGGGGTGGGAGCAACAACCGCCCATTCTCCTGTTCCCGTCATGTTTCCATCTCACCCCACGCTGCTCTGAGACCAGGAGGCACATCCTCGTGGCCAGTACACATGGGTCCATTGGCAATGGTTTTGTTTGTTCTTGATTCTTCCTTCGTTTTCTTTCCATTCACACTCTTGCCTTGCCTCCCATCACCACTGCTGTCCAGTCGGTCACTGCTTTTAGTAAACATGACATAATGCGCCTTGCATTCTAAATCCATGTGGGTGACACTCTCACCCCTGTCTATGGGACGAGTTCCTCCCCTGGATGGATCATACCATCCACTCACAGGCCTGGACGTGACTTCCCAGGGGACAGTGTGATACTCTCACCCCTATGTGAACTGCTACCCTGGAAGGAAGGACCATACTGTCCACTCTTGAAGCTGGACGCTGTATTCCCTGGGGACAGCTGCTTGGGTGTGCAGGCCCCACCCAGCCCCTCCTGCTCCTGTCTGTAGGCCCTCCCTGGGGTCACTCGAGTTTGTGGTCTCTGACTCAAAGGCCCCATGTCCTGAAACAAACTCTGGGCTTTTCTGGGAGTTTCTAAATGTAGCCTCAGGGCTGGGAGGAAAGGCATGGCTGGGCGCCCCACGCCTTCCTGGGCTGGACGGCCAAGTCTTTAACTCCTCTCAGCGTGGTGATTATAGGTGGTGGTTACCCCCAGGGCCAGGGCCACCTGAGCCTCTCAGTGTGGGGTTCAGGGAGGGAGTAGGGGCTGGGAGGGGGCAGGTGCAGGGCTTAGGGGTCCCTGGGCAGTCATGAGGGACAGTGGCTGCCTGTGCTCCCTGTAGCACTAGACCTTGTCCCTCAGTGGTCTTGATTAGCCCCACCAGCCCCGTCCTGCCCCTGTTTCCCCTCCCTTCCTATGGGGCCCTGAAGTCCTGCACTGCCCACTCTACCCCCACTGACTGACCCTGCTCCTGCCCCACATGCTGACCCTTTCTCTGCGTCCACACAGCTGGCACATGGACACCAGGTGGCGCTGTCGTCCATCAGTTACATTGGCTGTTCCCTGTCAGTACTCTGCCTGACCGCCACGCTGGCCACTTTCGCTGTCCTCTCGTGAGTCCCCCTTGCCTGGCACTGGGGCTTTCTCAATAGCTGTGACCAAGCCACCATCTGATTCTGATTCTGCCTCCCTGTAGAATGGGTGGAGCCTGGATGGGGGCCCAGCAGTCACGGGGTGGGGGCTACTGAATCTGGCATTTGGCTTTGGGAGCTCAGCAGCCTGTAACAGTGTTGTTACACTGGGTCCCGCACCCCCCCCCCCGCACCCCCAAGCCCATCAGGGCTCTGGCCATTTAAGTGGCGGGAAGGACATCGGAGGAGCAGGGAGGGTCCGGGCCCTAGAGCAGGGTGTCCAGGTGTCTCAGTCCAGGGCAGGTGTGGAGCTCACACCCTCTGTCCACAGCTCCGTCAGCACCATCAGGAACCAGCGCTACCACATCCATGCCAACCTGTCCTTCGCTGTGCTGGTGGCCCAGGTGCTGCTGCTGGTCAGCTTCCAGCTGAAGCCGGGCACGGTGAGTGACCCTGCCACACGGCCCTCCTCCCTCCCTCCTGCTGGTCCTCTGAATCCAAATGTGGTCACACCCTGGTCAGCCAAGGCTGGGCTTCCCCAAGAGGAACTGTGAGCCCTCTGGACACCCTGACGCAGCTGAGGCCCAGGTCTCTCTACACCTGGAGCACCTGCAGGCTCCCCAGCAGCTGAGGCACTGTGTTCAGACCCTGGATTGGTAACCTCACAGACACCCACCAGCAGCAATTTCCAGTGGTCAGCCTGCCTGTCCACCTCCAGGCCTCGAGACCTGGCCCTAGACATGGTTCCTAAAACTTCAGCAAGGTTCCCATAGCATAAAACAAACCATTTTAAAGGGAGTTATACTGTGACATTTAGTCTGTTCAGAGCTGTGAGCCACCACCTCCGTCTTGTTCTTTAACATTTCATATTTCAGAATAAAACCCCAGACCCAGTAAGTGTGGGTTTTGTCAGAGAGCCCACACTGACACTCGTGCAAGCACATGCAATCACAGAGCACACACACACATGTGCACATGCACACACACTGGTGGACATGCACTGGCACACCCACACATCTGCCTGCACGTATACAGGCATGCACATGTTTGCACATAGCCACAAAGCATTCACTAGAGAATGCACTCACACATATGTGCATGAAGAGCCAGCCACATGTTTGCACACATTTACAGATACATACATCTTACATGCATGAAAACAATGCACACTTACACAGAAACACATATTCACATGCATGCAAGTGTGTGTGTACATGCATACAGAGGCACGCACCTGTGCATATATGTACATACATGCATGCAGACACACATCAGGTCTCTGATTTCCTTTCAAAATCACGAAGCCCTGCTAAATGAAAGTTAAGTTTCAAAAGCAGCACTCTGCCTACTGGCCAGGCCTGGTCCCCTTACTTCCCTGAATCGGTCGCGATATCTGAGGGACACATGCAGTGATTTAGCTGAGCCAACAACTCTAAAAATTTCTAGCTCTAAGATGTGAGGGGTAGGGGCTGGGGAAACTTTGGGTCCTCAGGAGGTCCATGTGACTGGAAGATGACCTTCCCTCCCTGGAAACGGAGGGTGGGAGGGTGGACACAGGAAGTGTCCGGCACACATACCCAGAGATGCCTCAATTTGCGTATCCTTGTTCCCAGGTCCCCTGTCAGGTCATGGCTGTGCTCCTGCACTACTTCTTCCTGAGTGCCTTTGCGTGGATGCTGGTTGAGGGACTGCACCTTTACAGCATGGTCATCAAGGTCTTTGGCTCAGAGGACAGCAAGCACCTCTACTACTATGGCATAGGATGGGGTAGGTTTCTATATGTTGTGCCCTTCCTGGAGCCTCCAAGGATGGGATGGAAACAAAGCCCCACTGGTCAACTGATAATCCAAATCTCATCTCTCTGAGAGACACTGTCTTCCTGCATCCATCGCTGACTGGGTTTGGTTGTAGTTCTTTTTCCATGAAATAGCTTTACATTAATTTTTTTTTCTACTATTTTTCTTTCATCCGTTTCATTCACCTCTATCTCTAATCCTGATCATTTATTTTTTTTCTGTTTGCCATAAGTTTAGAGGGCTCTCCTCTTCCCAGTGTAAAAAAAAAAAAAGGTGAATGATGAGGTTTTGATGTGAGATGTTGTTTCTTTTTCTGCATAAACACTTAGAGCTATGAATGTCCCTCTCAGTGCGGCTTTAGCTTCATCCCAGGCTGTGCTGTTCTGTGCTTTTCTTTTCATTCATGCCAAAGTATTTTATATTTTGTCTCTGAATTTCCTCTTTTACCCATTGCTTATTCAGGAGTGTGTTAATTTAATTTCCACATATTTGTGGATATCTCTATTTTTTTCCCGTTTATTTATAATTCTACCCCACTACTGCAGTCAGAAAATATGCTTTGTGATTTCAGTCTTTTTAAATTTATTGAGACTTGTACTGTGGCTTACCATGTGGTCTGTTGTGAAGGTCACAGTCTCCCTGAACCCTTGGGAAGGAGATGTATTCTAGTTGTGTGGAATACTCTCCTAGGTTCAATTGGTTTTTGAAATTTTCTATTGCTTTGATGTTGTTTTGCCTCCTTGTTCTATTGATTCCACACTTCTCAAAGTAGTGTGTCAAAGTCTCCACCTATTAGTGTTGAATCATCTGTCTTTCCTTCCAATTCTGTCATGTTTCGTTTCATGTATTTTGGGGCTGTGTTGTTAGAAACATGTATGTTTATACCATCATTTTACTTTCCACTTATTTGTATCTTTGAATATAAGGTGTCACTTATAAACAGTATAGAGATGGATCTTTTACCTTTTTAAAGGAAGTCTCACAATCTCTGGCATTTTATTGGAGTGCTTATTCTATTTGTACTGAGAGTTATCTTTTGTATAATTGGATTTGTGCCTGCTGTTCTATCTTCCTCATGCCTGATGTCCTTTGTGTTTCTCAGTTCCTCCTTTATTGTCCTCACCTCCCTGCTGCACGGACGTGTCTGCTATACATTGTTCCTTTCCACCCCAAGGAGCATCAGTGACCTTCCTGCTGGGAGTGCAAGCTTGTGTCCGTGCATCTGCCGATCTCAGGGACTGACTTACTTGTGATCGGGATTGTCTCCAAGTTTTGCTTTAATTTCCACAGTCCTCTCAGGCTGAAGCTGGGAAGCATGTCTGTCTGTGCTCTGAGCTGGAAGATGCCTGAGCAAAGAGTGGGGCTAAATCACACAAACTCTCGCCCTTAGAAGACTCTCACTGAGGATCTTCCTCTTTTTTTGCTGACCCTTTAATTTTCCAAACTTGGTGTCCTTTCCCAAGCCCTGGGTTTCCTGATAACTTGCCCAAAGTGAATGAGATGAAGTCTCTCCATCTTTGCTTCTGAGGAGTATCCTGTCTGCTTGTCCTCCAAGACAGATGTGTTTGTTCTTTTGGCCATCTATGAGATGTTCAGTATTCTTTGTCAACACCACAGTTGTGATGTTGTAGAGTAGAGGGTCAGAGAACAAAAAAAACCCCAAAACCCAAGAGGATCCCAATGAGATGAACTGACACAGTGGCTGCAACAATGGCCTCCAGCATAGAAGCGACTGTGAGAATGACGTAGAACTAAAGTGTGTCTTGTTCTGTTGTACTTGATCATGAACTAACTCAACAGCATCTAACAATAACTACAGGGGCTCCCCTTCTCTGGGGGAGAGCCACCCAGGGTCTGGAGAAAGGGTGTAGCTGCAGCCACGTCCACCTGCTGGCCGTGTAAGGGAATCTCAGGAAGTCACTGCCCACTTCAGTGGATGCACAAGGTCCTCAGAGACCTCCCCTGCCTGTGCCCAGGCCAGACCCTGGGGCTGGGTGCCCTCTGCATGCTCCCCTCACATCGTACTGGGCTCACTTCAGGGGTGACTGGCCCCATCTAGCCCTCCCCATGGCCCCAGAGAGAAGCATGCTTTCTACAATTTACGGCTCTACTTAGTAAGCACTTAAAGAACTCATGTTACCATCCAGCATAGTTTACTCATTTCTTTATGCGTATGCCCATGTAAGTGAGACGTGTGTGCACATGATGTACCTGTACAGACACATACACAGAGGTCACTTACCAGACATTTGTATGCATGCACACGCATGCGCGTGCACACACACACACACACACACACGCATACACAGGTCATGCAACAGGCATGGATGCATGCATGCACATACATCTGCACCCCCATCATGACCAGCCAAGCCCACCATACAAGATGTGCATGTGGGGTCTGTTACTGCAGTCGCCAGGTCCCCATCAGCAGAGGCTCCAACGTGGTCCTTGTTGCTAAGGAATGAGTGTCGTAGCCAAGCTAATCTACCCTAGAAGCAGGCTTGCTTGGGTTACAGAACCTTGAGAAAAAGCAATTGTTTGCCACTATTTTAAAAAGGAGTCATCTTCATAAGTCCCAAGGTCCCTCTGGGCCCTCAGAAGATCTGGGGTGGTCAGGGTACTTCCTGCCATACAACTGCTTGGGACCCACCATAGTCTCTGCACCCACATGGCCCCAAGGGGTTTGTGTTTGTGGCACAGATGGGATGCCAGGCTGAGTGTTGGCCGTTCCGCAGCCTCTATCCGTCTTCTCGTCAGCTTTCCCTTAATTAATTTTATGATGAGTGCCGCGCGCCTTCTTCTTCTGCCTGCTCAGAACTGGCTCCGGGCCTAAGTAAAGGCGGTCACAGGCAGTTGCGCCCTCTCAGCTCTCAGCTGTTAATTATGAAGCGGTGAGACCAGGGCCCAGCGGCCACTCTGCAGGGAGGAGGGCGTTCTCTTGGCCTCCCTGCACCTCTCACTCTGTCTTCAACATGCAAACCTCAGAGGCCAGGAGCTACGTTTCCAGCCACTCTCACTGGGTGTCGGGGTCATGACTGGAGGATCAGTGTCTGTTCTCGGGACCTGGGTGGTGGGAGGCACTGCGTCGAGTGGCAAGCTATAAATCCAGGGGGAGCAGGAGGCCTGAGTGCTTGCTGAGTGAGAGGCTACATGTCCAGGGGGCAGGCGGCCTGAGTGCTGGACATCTGAGAGGCTGCAGACCAGAAGCTCAGCCCTCAGCCCTGTACACAGAATGAGGGACATGACCCCAAGGCATCACCCAGCAGAGTGGACGCGCTGACAGGAAGCAGGTGGTACTTCTGCCCTCAGCTGCTGCTGAAGAACCACCTGCCAGCCCAGCTCCCTCCTCTGGGAGCACCAAGGTGGCCACCACCGGAAGAAACATGACCAGGGGTGCCCGCAACTTCCTGCAGGTTGACGTCTCTCACCCCTGCTTTGTCCCTGGCTCCACGTCAGCGCTCGTTATTGGGATATTGCTCAGAGACGCCACGCCAAGCAGCCTGGCCCTGGCCCAGACCCAATCTGACAAAGACTCAACCTGTCCAGTGTGTTCAAGTGAGAGTGTGTAAGTGTGAATGTGTGCACGAGTACGTGTGTGAGTGTGTGCCGAGGTGTGTGGGTATGTGCATGTTCTGTGAGAGCGTGCGTGTGTGTGTGCACACATGAGTGTGTCACTGAGCATGTGTGTGGCTGTGTTTTGTGCTTATGCACGTGTGTGAGTACATGTCCATGTGTGGGCTTGTCCGTGATTGTGCACACATGCGTCTACACATGTGTGGGTGTGCATGACATGCATGTGTGAGTACGTGTGTGAGAGTGCAGTGTGTGTGTGTGTGTGTGTGTGTGATAGCTCTGTTCACAGCATGAGTTTTCGGAGGACAGGAGCTTCTGTGCCCCCAGAATTTCATGCCTTTTCTCTGTCAGTTAGAAAGTGCCCAATTCTCTGTATCCATCAGGTGTAAAGTGTATTCTCTGTACCCATCAGGTATTAAAAGAGCAACTCTTCCTATCTGTCAGGTGCAGATGGGTCATTCCCTGTACCCACAGGGTATATAATGTGTTCTCTGGATCTGTCAGGTATAAAAAGGGCAATTATCTGTATCTTTCAGGTATAAAATGGGTACTTCTCCATACCCACCAGGTATAAAGTGAATAATTCTCTCTCTACCCGATATAGAAAGAGTAATTCCCCATATCCTCCTGGTAAAAAGTGGGTAATTCTCTATATCTATCAGGTGTAAGAGGAGTAATTCTCCATGCCCAGGAGATACAAAGTGGGTAATTCTCCACACCCGTCGGGTATGAAGTGGGTAATTCTCCGTTTCTACCAGCTAGGCGATGAGTGGGGTGGATGTCTGACCGAGAGGCGCCCTGACGTGCTGACAGAGCTCTGCTCTCTTCTCCGCAGGTGCCCCTCTTGTCATATGTGTCATTTCCATGTCATGTGCCATAGACAGCTACGGAGCGAGCGACAAGTAAGTCCCGGGTGTGCCTCTACCGTGACAGTCCCACGGTCCAGCGCTCCGTCTCACGTCCTTGTGGGGTGGACCCGGCCTCCTCGGGTCCTGGGATGAGAACAGCACGAGCAGAGGGAGGGATGGCTGACCCAGCTGTGTTCTCCGCATCCTCAGATGTAAAGCTAGCAGCTTGGGTGCCATCCTCCAGGGACAGACGTTTCCTGCCGAGCTGTCTTCACCCAGCACGGCTCCTCACAGGAGATTTTGGCCACTCCCTGGAGCCCAGTCTTGGGTGGTCAGCACAGTATCCCATTCCCAAGACAACTGTATATGGGAGAGCCATGTGAGCAAGGTCTCCTGGGCGCTAGGCCCTGGCTTCCAGGTGCCTGGGTGGGGGAATGGGACCTTGTGCGGCCCCATAGCTGGCTGCCATTCGCGAACTTGCAGCTGACGGGCCCACCGTTGAATCAGGACGAGGAATGAATGGAGACAAAAAACAAAACAAACCAAAAAAAAAAACCAGGTCAGGCTGCCTAGTTCCAGAAAAATCTTATTTTCTTATGAGGACAAAAGCATTCCCTCACATGCCTGCGGGAGGAAGCTGGGCATCTCTCAGTGAAAACACAATGGAAGCATGGTGGAGCGTGACTGGGGAGAGGAGGGCTGAGCATTCTTGCCGCCGCCTCGAGACAGGAAGACGGCTCTTCAGCTGATAACTAAACAGGAACAATCTAGCTGCTCCTACCTCGGGCTACGATTCACTGAACACTGAAGATGGTGTGAGGGGTGCAGGTGGCCCCTGTGCTGATGGGCCCCGCAGCCCCCTCTCCATGCGGGAGGACTCGAGGCTGAAGCGCTCGCTCCTAGAGAAGGCCTTTGTTCCATCTCCCGTCTGGGCCTGGTGGACATCGTCCGCCCCCAGTTCAAGTCTCTACACCAGCATCACCCCCACCTCTGGGGGGTGGCCCCGGCTGAGGGTCAGGGACCCCTGAGGCTCCTCAGAGAACAGGCAGGAGGTCCTCATCCTAACACCGCACAGGAAAACGTGGGGAGGACAAACGTCCCCGGACACTCAGAGCCAGGCTGGAGCACAGGGACCTCCTCAGATGGTGCATTCTGGGGCTCACTGCTGGGCTGAGTGGTGTACCCCCAAATGCTCACCTACTGAAACTTCAACACTTCAGAAAGCGAGGTTATTTGGAAATAGCGTCAGTGCAGAGGTAAGAATGGAGTTGTGCTGGATTAGGGTGCCGCTGATCTGACCTGACCGGTGTCCCCAGGAGATGAGACGAGAAGAGAGGATGTCATTGGACCAGCAGTGTACCCAGTACCCAGTGTTTGGGTACATATGCCCACCAAAGACATTTCTAAAACAACACAGTTCAAAATACTGAAGGAGGAAGGCAGGCAGAATAGAGGTGGCCATGTGAAGACAGAGGCCAGGTCAGGGGTACAGTCACAGCCCAGGACCCTCCTGCCCACCCCCATTCCCAGAAGCTGGGACAGTGAGGACAGCGCCCCCTGGACCCTTGGAGAAATGAGGTCCTGTGGTCACTGCCTGTGCCTCCCATGCTGAGGGGACATAGGAGCTCCAGTCTGCATCCTCATTCTGGCAGCCCTGGGGCCCCCAGATGGGCTTGGGCCAGGGAGAGAGCCAGTGTAGATGGGAACTCGTGTTGTGCACTTAGTGCCCAGGAGTGGACACTGCATCATGGGATGAAACCCAGATGTGGGCAGCAAGGGGACAGCTCAAGAGTGAGGACCACCTGGTGGCCCTGGCTGGACCCTGAGGCCACCTGAAACCCTGGAGGCAAGATGTCGCTGGGGGCTGGACTCCTGGAAAAGACCATGCAGAGAGGGACAGGCTTCCAGCCCCATTTCAGGGTCAGATCCTAAAGAACAGGCTTCAAAGGAACAAGAAACCCCCACCTCCTCAAGGATCCCTCTCCAGGAAACCTTGGATTGAGCTTCTCAGGGGACACCTGTTCAGAAAATCCTGGACCCCACTTTCCAGAGAATAGCTCTCCAGAGAACTCAGAAACTCCTTCCTTGTCAGCAGTTCTCAGAGCACAGATGGGAATGGCTTTGCAGTGAGGTGGGATGAGCCACAGACACCCTGCCTGAGGAGTGTAGAAAGTTCTGGAAGGAGCCTGCTGGTCTTTCCACCGTGAGATGAGAACTTGCCGTGGATATGGTAGAAGCTTCACGGACCACCCCTAACCCTGATCCTCATAAATGGAGATCTCCCCTCCGGGCCAGGACTGCCTGCCTCTGTCAGAGCCAGTCAGACCTGTTACAGGAGCGAGGGGGTCACAGGTATCCAGAGTGAGGGGTCAGGATGTGAGGTCACAGACACACAGAGGAGAGGGTCAAGAAGTGAGGTCAGAGGTACGTGGAGTGCAGGCGTCAGGATGTGAGGTCACACATACGTGGAAGTTAGGGTCTAGGAAATGAGGTTACAGGGACACAGAGATGAGGGGTCAAGGTGGGAGGTCACAGGTACACAGAAATGAGGGGTCAGCATGTGGAGGGGTCAGGATGTGGCATCACAGGTACCTGGGGGTGAGGGGTCAGGGTGTCCTCACTGGGGTAACCCCAGCTGAGCACTGGCACATGCACCCATGCTGGGCAGGGCCTGATGCTGGAGTGCGGACTGTGACGAGACAGTGGCCTCTGCTTCCCCCGTAGCTGCTGGCTGTCCCTGTCGAGCGGCGCCATCTGGGCCTTTGTGGCTCCTGCCCTCCTTGTGATCATGGTGAGTCATTGACCTCTGTGGACAGAGCTGTGGGGAGGGACCCCTGAGGGCACTCGGCGGGGGTACAGGCAGCACTGACCCTGAGGGCACATCCTGAGGGGACAGTCCTCTCTAAAGGCGACTCCAGTGTGACCTCGAGGGCATGCACACACTGCCCAGCATGACCCCACGATCCCAGGCTGCTCGAGTCCAGTTCCAGCTGCTGCCTTTAATCTAGGGCCTCCCTTCCGGCTCTGTGTGGGGCCACGTTCTCTTGTCAGCCACAGGGTTTTACTGGTTGTTTTCAGACATAAATTGCCAGCCCTTTCTTCCTGGTCTGTCTCAGGCTGGAAGCTCTACTAAACCTTATCCACCTGCTGGTATTTTAAGTCCTAGTGGTATAGCTGCCAGCTCACTCTCATAATTCTTTTTGGGGTCTACAGAGTTTTCAGGAGTAGACTTCCAGGTCTTTCCTCCTGGTCTGTCTCAGTTTGAAAGTTCTGCTGAGCCCTGTTCACGATGCCAGCCCTCCTGGTATTTGAAATATCAGTGGCTTAGCTTCCAGCATCACAGCCACACACACACCATCACCATGTGACACAGGACAGATGGGAGTGGATGCATGTTGTGTGTGCAGTAGAACCCAAAGCCTCCAGTTGGATTAGCCCCAGAAGTCTTGGTGGGGTCAGCAGCCCAGGCCAGGGAAGGGGGACCGGTGCAGCAGGGCCGTATAGGTGCAGTGGGCAGTATCCAGGTGCAGGGGGCCATGCAGGTGTGGCATGGCTGTGCAGGTGTGATGATGTCATGAAGGTGTAGGGGGCTGTGTAGGCTGGATGCGGCTGTGCAGATGTGACACCATGCAGGTGTGGCGTGGCCATGCACGTGTGATGAGGTCATGAAGGTGCAGGGGGCTATGTAGGAATGATGCAGCCATGCAGGTGTGGCACAGCCGTGCAGGTGTGGGGAGGTCATGCAGGTGCAGGGTAGGCATGCAGGTATGGCAGGGCTATGCAGGTGGAGTGGGGCAATGTCCAGGGGCAGAGGGCAGTGCAGGTACGACAGAGCTATGCAGGTGGAGCGGGGCAGTGTCTGGGTGCAGGGGGGATGTGCAGGTGTAATAGGGACTAGCTGTGCAGGTGCAAGGGGCTGTGCTGTGCAGGTGAGCCCTCACCACCTCCTCTGGCCGCTCCCGGGCAGGTCAACATCAGCATCCTCATCGCGGTCACACGGGCCATCTGTCAGATCAGCGCTGACAACTATAAGATACACGGAGACCCCAATGCCTTCAAGTAAGTGCATGTCCATGAGGCCAGCAATATCGTGCATGGCCTTCTGGAGGCTCCAGGGCTGACAAGCCATGTGCCAACTCCCCATCATCCACATCCTCGATCAATGCCCACCAGCCTCAGTACCATTCTGGACAAGAGGGGTCCGTCCATCAGGTGTCCTTCCAGACCCTGAGGATTTCTTGAGGGGCAGTGCAGGGAGGGGTGGAGGGCATGTGGGTTAACAACTCTTCACAACTGGGCCGTGGGAGCCGCTTTACCCTATTAGAGTTCTGTGTTCCCAGCTGACAGAACTTTGTCAAAAAAGGTGGGGTGGGGGGGCTCGGACACTGTTGGTGGAACGTGAGGACAGCACTCTAGGCTGGACTGATTCTCCAGGACCCCAGGGACATGAGGCCAGCACCCTGGACATCCACCAGCCAGGCTGGGAGAGCAGGGCCAGGCCTGAGGGCCTGGAGGCTACGCTGAAATTTTGGAGTGGACGGTCATTTCCGTCACAGATTTTTACGGAAATATTTGAAGTGCAGCACTTCCAAATGTCCGCGGGCTGGCAAAATTAAAGTGACTTTAGTCACACTCTGTCTTCTCTGATCTGCCAGGGAAACTAGTAAATATGTCCGCGGCTAAATCGATGAGGTCATTACTCAGTAATGAATTCCAGACCCCGGGCGTGAAGTCGACAGGCAGTCCCTGCCCTCTGCCTGTCCAGCCTCTGGACATCTTGAGGGAGAAGCCTGGGGTAAAGGGGATCATGGCCACATTTTCCTTTCCCATGAGAGCAGAGCAAACAGCAGGAGACCTGGAGGGTGGCCGGTGGGATACTTGTTCCTCTTGCCCTGAGGCCCTATCACTGTGAAAGGGTGGTCTATCTCTGGGGTGCTCTTCCCAGTGACAGCGTGCCCTCCCTCTGCAGAGCCTCAGCCTGGAGAACACGTATGTGTGTGTGTGTGTGTCCCCACACATATATCTGTGGCCACATTTCCCCTCTCTGCCCATTACAGCCCTCCCTCCACAGTCAGACTGTGCAGTCATCCAGACTCATGGGCTTCACGAGCTCCCACACGTGACCGTGACAGGTGTGGACACCTGGGCAGGTGTGAGCTGTGCCTTCTCTAGAAGGTGTCCCCTCGGATTCTGCCAGCAGATAGAACAGCACGGTGTGGGTGTGGGTGTGGGTGTGTGCACATGCTTGCACGTGTGTGTGTATGCACACTAAGTATGTGTGGCCTCGAGTGTATGTGTGACCCCATAGAACGCACCGTGAGCGGAAATGAGAGTTAGAGACCTTCTCAAAGGAAGCTGACTCAGAGAGCAGCCCACAGGGAAGTGGACTCCGTGTGCTCACGACAGTCCTGAGTCCACCTGGGAACCCCTGGGGGCTTCTCCACACGGCTGTTGGTAAGAGAGAATTGGTCTGTGGTGACCACTCTTCACACAGACCGTGTCCAGGATGCAGGGACTGTGCTAAGTGGGTCCTAGAACTTCAGGAGAAAGATGTTCATGTCATTGTGTGGATTTCACGAGACATGCTGGCTGCCAACACCTGACAGGGTAACCTCAGGACGGGGAGCTCCACGTTGGCATCCACCTGTCCCGGGCACTGGTCTATATGTGGCACTTTTTCATTCATTTACCATTCATTTACTCATTAATTAATTTCTCCTCTCAGTGACCCCTTACCAAGATCCTGGGGCCAGGGGGAGACTGTCAGGTGACTGTTTACCAAGAGCACTGTGGCCAGGGGTTAATCTTTAGGTGGAACCAGGGTCTCACTAGTGGGTCATTCTGCCTGAGGTGTCCTCAAGGCCAGGAGTGTCCTCGTGCCTCCATCGTTGTGCCCCTTGCCTGTCCTCCACCCAGCATGCTCTGTCCCTGTGCTCCAATCCCCACACCTCCCCCCACCCCATCCTCCTCATACCCATGCCCCCATCCCCACCCCACCCCCATCCCCGTGCCCTGTCTCTGGCCCCATCCAGCACACCTCCATCCCCATGCCCCCATCCCCATCTCCCCCTTTGCCCCTGCCCCCATGCCCCTGTCCTCGTGTCCCATCTCAGGCTCCATCCAGCACACCCTCGTCCCCGTGCCCCCCACCCATGATCTGCCCCTCCTCCAGGCTGACCGCGAAGGCCGTAGCGGTGCTGCTGCCCATCCTGGGCACCTCGTGGGTGTTTGGCGTGCTTGCAGTCAACAACCAGGCGATAGTCTTCCAGTATATCTTCGCCCTGCTCAACTCCCTCCAGGTGTGTGTGTGAGGGTCGTGCCCTGCTGCCTGTACCCTTTGCACCCCAAGAACCTGTGGGGTCGTCCAGCTGGGGAGGGGGCGTACCTGGCACTCTGAGCATCTGCATCCTCACATCCCAGGAGCTCATGAAGTCGCCAGCTGTGGAGGGGGAAGCTAAAAGGCTCCAGGCCTCTGTACTCTCATACCCCAGGAACCTAAGGGGTCCCCTGGCTGTAGAAAGGGCATACTTGGGGCTCCAGGTATTTTACCCCCACATTCCAGCAGCATGTGGAATCCCCTGGCTGAGGAGGGGGCACAGTTAGGGTTCTGGACAGGGAACACCTGTGTGAGGTAGTGTAGGAGGGGCTGGAGCTGGGCGGGGCAGAGAGAAACAGGGAGGGGAAGACAAAGGCAGAGGGGCCAGGCAGGGCCTTCGGTGAGCACAGTTGCATGGGGGCCCAGAACACAGGGCCTGACAATGCCCATGCTCCCTGGGTTTCCCGCTGTGCCAGCCACTGTCCTCCCACCCCGGCTGCAGCTCATGGTGCCCGCTGCTCACACATGCAGAGTCTACAATGCACAGGACTCACGCGCCGTGAGCTGCCATCCTCGTACTGTGTTTGGCCAGCATGAGGGCCTGGCTGCCTGCCCTCACCCGTGTCCACTCCGCACAGAGAGCTGTGCTGGGGCTGACCCAGCAGGTCCCTGAGACCCTGCGTGGTCTGCGTGGCTGTCCTCACATCCCTGTTCACAGTTGGGGGCACACTTGTGTGTGGAAGTCTCTGCCTTCACCCCCCAGTACCTGCACCCCCAGGGTGCCCTTGTGCCTCAGCTGACCCTGCCCTTTTCCTGACCTAGTCACTGGCACCACCCTCATCTGGTCAGGTGATGGGGCTCCAGGACCACGAGATCCAACTTCTCAGCCCCTGGGGCCCCTTGGGTGGTACCCACCTTGAGCCAGGCTGGGGAGAACCCCTGGAGGGCAGCTGCAGAAAGTTCCAGTGCTGTGCTTTCCTTCTGCAGGGCCTCTTCATCTTCCTCTTCCACTGCCTGCTGAACTCAGAGGTATGTCCACATGTCCATCTGTCCACGTGTCCTTCTACCCACCCATTGAGCTGTTCTCTGTCCTCCAGTCACCTGTCCACACTGTCTACCCATCCTCTTGTCCCTCTGCCCTCTGTTCACAACCCTCCTCTTGTCCATCCATCCTCCTGCCTTCCCACCCCTTGTCCTTCTGTCCACTAAGCCTCTCATCAACTTATCCACTCGTCCTCCTGAGTCAGCACCCCTTCACCCAGAGCACAGGAAAGTGTGAGGCTGATGTCCAAGTGTGGCCAATGCAATCATGGTGGGAGTGGCCGGGTGGGTGACTGAGGGGTCACTAGAGTTAATTGTGGTCAGGCATGGTGACCAAGGGGTCCCTCAAGCTAGCTGTGGTGCTGATGGTCAGGCATGGTGATGAAGAGGTCATTAGAGTTGGCCAAGATGTAGAGAGTAACAGATAGGTGACAACAGGGTTGCTAGGAGACATCTTTCCAGAGATGTGGGCAGTCCCTGGTGACTGCCTGCCGGGGGCATGTGGGGATGCTCAAGATGTGTCTGTCCCCAGGACCCTTCTTCCTGGAGGCTCTGTGGTGGCCGGGAGCAGTGGGGGCTGACCAAGGAGAAGGATGACCCCAAGACACCACTATGGATTGCTGGCTAAGGTGGGGCGGTATGAGGAGGGCCATGGGGTCCCCCCTCACACAGCAGTGGGAGATGAAGCTTACTCATGGCCAGGGCACTCATGCCGGCGTGAGGATGTGCTGAGGGGCAATGGCAGGGCTTGATGACCTCACATCCTCTCTTTTCTCTAGGTGAGCAAACCTCAGGGGTGGGAAGCAGGTGGGTTTCAGGCAGCTAAACGTCTGCTTGTCTGGGCTCATTTTTGTCCCCCTGTGTGTTTGGTTTGGTTTAGTAATTACTTGGGTGCTACATATTTTTTCACCATGTACTTTGGACATGTCAGGAGGGGGCTGGTCCTTGGAGACCGTGAGACGATGGAGCAGGACAGAGCAAGGCTTCCGTCTGTCATTCCTAGTGTCAGAGGACACTGAACAACAACTTTATTGTTAATTATGGTCAAGATGCACGTAACAGGTCATGCACTGCATTCCGCCCTCAGGCTGAGCGGGACTCCGCACCAGTCCCATCCCCGGTCGTTCCAGCCTTGTGAACACCCCTTCCCGTCCCCTCCCATCCCCTCCCCTTCTCTTCCCCTCCCTCTTCTCTTCCTCCCTCCTTCTCTTCCCCTCCCCCCATTCTCCTTTCCTTTCTCTCAGAGCAAGTTTGTCCCCTCCCCCCTTCCTGTTCCCTTCATTCTTCTCTACTTCCTTTCCCCTCCCCCTTCCTTGCTCCTTCCCTTCCCCCCCATTGTATTTCTCCTCCCCCTCCCCCTCTTCCATTCTCTTTCCCCTCCCCCTCCGCACCCTTCCCCTCTTTTTTCTCTTTCCCCTCCCCCTTCCGCATTTGCATCGCCCTCCCCTCCCCCCTCCCTGCAAACAACTGCACATCATCTTTGCTCTCTGTATCTGCTAGTGTCCAGCGTTCTCGGTTGCACAGTTCTGTGGCTGACTTGTCCTTGTCGTCGTCCCCCACCCCCGCCCCAGCGTCATGCTCCGTGGTGTCTGAGTGGTGTGGTCTCTGTCGTGTGGATGGAACGTGCTCCTCTGTTGACAAACCTTTAAGATCTTACCCTCCGACTGCTATGGTGGTGTTGATGGTGCTGCCATGGACACTGGTGGACAGGTCTCTTGTTTGCGTGGCCACCTCCACTTCTGAGCCTACGTTGGGGAAGGCTCGGTCATACAGGGATCCTGGTGATGATGCAGTGTGTTACTTGGGCTGCTGACCCAAAGGTCATTGGTTTGAATCCACCAGCTGCTCCACAGGAAAAAGATGAGGCAATCCCCTCCCAGAAAGATTTATAGCCCTGGACACCCAGGAGGGAGTTTGGGAGTTGAAAGCGACTAAGAAGCAATGGGACTTCGTACAGTGACAACAAATTTAACTTGTTGAGAAAACAGCCAGACGGTTTCCTGTAGAAGTACCTTACCTCATTCCCACTGGCATGGATGAGGGCTCCCAGGGCTGTTTTTAAAACGTGTGTGTGTGTGTGTGTGTGTGTGTGTGTAAGGAGCTGGGGTGTGTCTCCATGTCTAACAAGCCTGTCCTGCCAGCTCTGGCCTCTATAGTGCCATCCTAACGAGCAGAGGGCCCTCCTGGGCTGCCTGTCTGCATATGGACCCGGGCGGAAAGGAGAAGGCCAGTCAGCTGGCCAGGGTACAGCCCAGGGAGGCAGTGACTTGGAAGGATCACATGGATGCAGCAGCCTGACAGGAAGGGGTGCTGATCCAAGGGGGGGCTAGACCATCCAGAGTGCATGTGTGTCTGTTCTCTCTCAGGGGTCCTTGTCCCCAGTCACTGCTCTGGACCCTGTAGTGCTGCTGCTGAGTCATTCTATGCCCTCTCCGGAACATGCTGAGGCTCCCCCGGCATGCGAGGGCCGTGGCTGTGGGGTTAGTCTGTACCACACAGTTCATCTCTGTTCTGCTCTGGACCTTTTGTTCTGAGGCTATGAGCCCACGGTGGCTCAGGGGTAGAAGACTGCCTTCCATACAGTGGACTGCATACCTGACTCACAACTGTTCCTGTCTGTCAGTGGAAGCTTGTATATAAGGCCGTGGTGGCTTGGGGATAGGATACCGCCTCTGCTCAGAGGACCGTGTACCTGACTCACATCCACACCCATCCATCAGTGGAGGCTTGTGTGTAGTCCATGGTGATTCGGGCTAGAATGCCTTCTTCTGTATTGGGATCTTGTACTCGACATACATCCACACTCTGTCCCTGAGGCCTGTGTGCTGCTCTCCATGGTGCTAAACAGGTCTCAGGAGGGCGTCCAGACCAATACAGACTAGGAAGAAAGGCCTGGCTATTTGCTTCCAGAAAGTCTATTAGTTAGAACCTTATGGGCCTCCAAGCAGTCATGGTGGTGGCTAGGGCTGGGCAGCGCCTTGTTCCTCTATCCTGAGGCCGGTGACACGGAGGACTATCTCCTTGATGCTCCCCGAGCCTCAGAGAAGCAGCGTCTCCTGAATGCCCTCTCTTCTCTCAAAGGTGCGTGCTGCCTTCAAGCACAAAACCAAGATCTGGTCGCTCACCAGCAGCTCGGCCCGCAGCGCCCATGGGAAGGCCTTCAGCTCCGACATTGTGAGTGCTTCCCATGCCTCATGCTGCCTTCCTGCCCAGCCAATTCTGAGCACACTTCCCTGCACTGATCACTGTCTGTTGCCTGGGCTCTGTTCTCTGTCGCTGGCCGCTGGCCATGCTGCCTCCTGCTTCCCTGGACTGCATGTGTGCTTCATGTGGGACTTGTCTTCATTACGTCCCTCTGTCCTTTGCAGGGTCTTGCTGGGCAAGGTCCTGGCAGGCATCGGTGGGGAGGAGGAGCTTTGCAATGCTAATTGGTCTCATTCTGCTTACTTTGCCTGATGTGTGTTCCAGACTGGGAGGGGAGGTGTCTGGGGCTACAAGCGACAGGTCCCTAGAGTCAGCTGACCAGGTGGCAGACCCTGACATAGCCATGGAGCCGACTGAGGACAGAGATGTCCTTGCAAGCCCTGCCCCTGCTGGGTGCCCTCTGCATCAGTCCTTGGGCCCTTAAGGACACCTGTGAAACCAGCTCTCCATGCCCAGGGTCTACACATACCTTTCGTCTTTATTGCTTGTCTTGCCGACCCAGGCAGGGGCCCTGGGTAGCCTGGCACTGAGGCAGTCATGTGTTCTCACTGGCTACTGCTTGTCACTCCAGTCCTTACTCAAGTGTCCCAGGAATCCCACCTGGCCCCACTGCTGAAGAAACCCACCTCATTTCATCGCGCACCCTCCTACCACCACCTGCGGGGTCAAGTAGTTTGTAAAGGGCCACTGTTCTTCCCACTCCTGAATGCAGTTTCCATGGGAACAAGGCTGGGTAGCTTTTGTTTCCATTGTAACCCCGTGGTTGACACAAGTCAACTGAGCAGACTATGTTCCAGAAGTGAATACCAGACAGATTTAGAAACAAACAAATGAATGAACAGATGAGCAGATGAGCGAGTGAAAGATCAAACAGATAGATGAATGAATGAACAGGTGGATGAATGGATAGTTAAGTGACAGCAATGATTGGGAATAAAGAATGAATAGATGGGCAGTGCTTTGAGTGAACTGATGAATGGATGGAAAATGAGTGAACAGATGGATGAAAGATTAGATGGAGTGATGAATGAATGAAAAAACCAGCGAGTTGAATGCGTGACTGACCCAACAGATATAGGTGGACTAATGGGTTGATGGAGAGATGGGTGCATGAAAAAGTAGATGGGGAGATGACTGAATGAGGGCATGAATAAAAGAACATTGATACGTGATTAAGTGAACCGTCATATGAGTGCATAGAAGAACGGAGGATGATGAATGAATGGATGGATGGATGACTGGGTGGCTAGATGAGTGAATGACTAAATAAATAAATAGATGAATGGTTAGGTAGATAAATGGAAATATGGATGGATGGATGCATGGATAAATTATATGATAGATGCAGGGAGGATGGACAAGTTGATGAATGGTTAGATGGATGGATAAATGAGCAATTGATGGATGAATTAGTGACCACATGGATGGATGAGTAATGAGATTGGTAGAGCACTGACTGGATGAACAAATGCATGAGGAAGTGAATGAATGGATGTACAGTTGTCTGGATGAAAGGATCAATGAGTAAGTAAATGAAATGAGTGAATGACCAGATGGATGGCTGTATGGTCAAGTCGAGAGATGAAATGACTGAACAAGCAGATAGACGGGTGAGCGAGTGAATGACCACCTGGAGGGATGAATGGTTGACGGATTCGGTGCTTGGTGATTGAGTCGATGGGTGGATGAATTCAGAGCACACACAGGCAGGATGAGTGGTGCTTCAAACCTGGAGCCAGAAACCAGAGAGGAGATAAGAAAGACTCATCTTTAAAGCGCTTTGCTTGCAGACGGGTCCTCTCAGGCTGTCAGTGACAGAGCGCGTCTGGGGACAGTATCTTGACCCTCACCTCTCTGGTTTGCAGACAAATGGAACCCGGCCAGCCACAGCTTCCTCAAAACTGGGCCCTTGGGACAAGGGCAGCCTCTCTGCTCACCGTGTGGACCTGTCTGCTGTGTGAGATAGACTACACCAGCCATCCCCCAGACACCCCACACTCAGTTCACCTCCCTGGGGCTTCAGTGGTGTCCTGGCCCCGGGGACAGCATCACTTGTGACCCTGTCCTGTGAGCAGACAGCCACTAGCCATCTCCTGGACTGCCCACACCTCACTCCACCTTCTTGAGACCTGGGGACAGCATCACCTGTGACCCTCCTGTGAGACCTGCCCTCTCAGTCAGCCACGTGACCAGGAGAGAAAGGATTATGGGCTGTGGTATCCAGAAGACATGACTGAGGAGAAGAGGTGCTCACTAGGGCTTCCCAAACCCCAACCACATCAGGGGACCTGAGGGGACTGGACACTTACAAGAGGTAGCTTGCAAGTGTGGCCGAGGTCCCTGTCCCCCTCCAGACCCCCACATGCCCTCATGTGTCCCAGGGCCAGACAGGCAAGGTGGGGCTGGGAGAGTACCAGGAGGCCACCCCTATCAGACACCATACAAGCCCTCTTCTCCTTGTCCCAGCTGTCCGGTCCATGAGTGGACACCCAACCTGGATGGAGATCCTCGCTGCCCTTCCCCAGAACCTTTGACTCCCAGACCCCAAGTCAGCTCCAAACACCCCCCCCATTCCTGTGCACAATATCCCTCTCATCACTGCCCGCCTCCTGCCCTGGGCCCTTTCCCCACTTTCTAACGTCCACTGCCTGGCTTCATCCCACAAGGCTCTTCAGTCCAGGAAATGTGTCCAGCGGAGGCTGGGAGAGCAGGAGTGCCACTCACGTCCCTGGGAGGGCTTGCACCCCAAACAGGGGCCCTTTCTACCCTAATGGCCACCCTGTACTGAGGGATCACCCTCTTGGACCCTCTCTCAATGTGACTGTCACGTCTCCGGTGTTGGTGTGAATGACTCACTAGGCGAGGTCGTTGTTCTGTCCACAAGTGTCCAAGCTGCTGGTCTCAGATGGCTGGGGTCCAAGGGGAGCTGTCCGGGTCTGGGGCCGGGGCTGTGGAGGACTGGTCCCATGCTGATGGTGTCCACGGGGTTTGTGAGCTCGGAACCCCTGTCCACCTTTTTATGCTGGAGGACATTCCTGCCGAGCCTGGCCTCACACCTGCAGGCTCCGGGTGCAGTCCAGGGACCCTGCTGTCATCATCAGCCCTAATTGTGACTCTCAGTCCCAGGAGTATCTACAGGGCTAAACCTTGGGTTTTCATCAGCCTGCGGACCTCAGAGAATGACCTCAAGTGATGTCACTGCCCCAGGCAGCATCGGTATGTGCTCAGGGGCCGCTGGGGCCGCAGGAGTGGATGCAGCTCTGCCCCAGGTTCCCTGTGTTCTTGGAATCAGACAGAACATGCGACACACGACCCCATTCACACCCAAGAGCACCAGCAAGCGAAACACTGTATTTTTTTTAAAGACTTATGCCTGTGAGTGTTCGCACGTCTTTATTTTTTGTGAAGCGAGTCAAGCAAGGAGCTGCTTTTGTTTCGGCTGGGGCTCTCTGTGCATCTCAGCTCTCGGCACGCAGGGCCCCGTAGCTGTGCAGTAAGACGTGACCGCAGGCCTGTCGGAGGCACGTCACCTCTCTTATTTATGGGCTGACACTTGGGCCACAGCGCTTGGCCCTCCGAGCAGCAGCTGGGAGGGAGAGAAGCCGAGGCCGGTACTGGAAGGAGCTGGTGAATGCCTCCAAGCATGAAAGGTGTCTTGTGGTTTCATGGAATAAAACCTTACTTTCCTTAAAATGAAGTGTGGCTACTGACATCTGTTATCATGGAAGATGGGAGGGAATGTGAGTCTCTAAGCAAACATGGATAAACAAACACATGCGGGGAATGCTGCACCCCCTTTGATGGTTCGAACCCACTAGTGACTGTGGGAGAATATGGACTGTCTCCTCCCAAGCAGTTCACAGCCCTGGAGAACCGCTGGTGGGTCAGCTCAGAGTCCGCTCTGGCTCGATGCGGATAGGTTCTGTCTGGGCACTTCTGGTTTATCATGCTGGTTTTCACACGCTAGAGGCTGTGATGACCTGCACAGAGAAGCCTCCTGTCACTGTTTTCCCAGCATCCTCAATGTCTTTGTGTCACATTTCTGTCATCACAGTAGTTCAAGCTTTCCTATCTTGCTACTGGGGAGCTCTGGTGCCCTCATGGTAAAAAGCTGCACTGCAATCCTGAAGGCCTGCAGCTTGAACCCACTAGCTGCTCTGGTCAACAACAGTGAGAGAGCTCTGTTGGCCTAGTGGACGGAAAGCAAGGCTACCAAGCCCAAGGTGGGTGATTTTAACCTGCAGCCCTCGGGCCTGGTTTTAATTATCTTTGGTCAAACGTTCTTCCAAGTGGTGTAGCACTGGTCTGTACATTGCTGTACAGAGGTAACTCATGGTTGCTGTGATGCTAAACATTGTGACACTGATGTGTCAAATGCGAGAATGGTGGACAGTGTCTGGTGGAGCTCCCCGATTAAAACAAGCTTGGACGCAGGAGTGGCATCCACTTCTGAAATAGCTTGCCTCCGGAAACTCTAGAAACCTGGAGAAACAATAAAAGTTATACTTCGGGTCTTTTGTTCATAGGATTACTATGAGTCATCTATGATTCAGCAGCATTTAACAACAACAACAAGCTGCTCTTCGAGGGGAAAAAGATGGACAGTTTCCTCCAGTGCAATTTACTGCATCTGAAAACCTGTTGAAGGGTCAGCTATGAGTTGGTTCTGACTCAGCAGCCCACGTCAACAACAACCTGTACACTTCATAGACTACAGTGGACTGTAAACGTGACTTTCGCATGAACCGGAAAACAAACACATGTGCCTCGATTATTGTACTCGTGTCATTAGGGTGGTCTGGGAGTGAACCTGGGGTCTGCAGGGCGTGGAGCGAATCTGGACTGTCCACTACCGGACTGGAAGGCAGTGAGCTGTTGTTGTTATCATTGGACACTATGTTGTTCTCAGTGGGAGCCCGTCCTCACTCAGGATCCGTGTAGCCAGCGAGGGTGGTCCCACAGCCCTTGGGGCTGCTGGCTTCCCAGGTATATCTCCAGGTCTTCATCCGCAGAGCAGTCAGGTGAGCTTGAATAGATAACAGCAGCCCATCAGGACCCAGAGACGTGTCCTTCAACATACAGCATTCCTTGCATGACAGAGAACATTCCAGAACTGAAGGTGCCAGTGAAGTCCTGGTGTTTGAGTTCCGGATGGGCTCTGGGCATCCATCCAGCGTTCGGTATCCCCATGTCATGAGTGCCAGCGAGTCTTTCAGGTCAGCCTTCAATGTGGGAGGCTTCCTCCCTTGTTATCGATCAGCAAGGTTCCAGAAACTCCCTGTGTCTACCCAGGAAGCAACTTCATGAGCCACTTCAGTTTCGGTCACATGAGATTTTATTAAAATTTTCCTCTGGAGTTGGCATGTTCACACTCAGTTTAGGTGAATTCATTGCACATTTAGGTTTTGGGGTTTTTTTTTCCCTGTCTTTTGCGAGTTAATAGCATGTGCACTTCCTACCAGTAAATGGATTCTTACTTTACTTTTATGCACACCTGGGAGTTTTCAGAAGGTATTCTGTGGAGAACACTAACATTTTCTTTCCAAATGTGCAAACTCTCTCCTCGCACAGATGCCAAGAGTGGGAACCCACGGGAGGGGATAAGCAAACGCTCGTCTGGGGCTTCTGCCCAAACAAGTGTCCGCGGGGAGCTCATTACCCATCCTTGTTCTCTGGGCTCCTGCACTAAACCAAGCCCGGAGCAGCCACCTTCCTGCAGGATGACTGTTTTATCTTTCACAGAGAGAATATGCAGATGTTTTTCTGTTCTCCATAAATGTGACATCCTCTCAGAAATTGTCCTGTGTCTGGACTTGTGTTGAAGTGAGAAGGGAGGGTAGACCAGAGTCCATCTCTTCAGGAACTCTCATGTCCTAAACACCCATGTTAACCTTTGGCATCCACTCCGCTTTTGTCTAATGAGCCCCTAGGTTTCCCCTGAAGTATGGCTTCAACCAGACTACATTTCCCAGCCTCCTTTGTGGTGGGGCTATCACGTGACTGCCTTCCCAGCCAATAGGATATGGGCAATCACCCCTTGCCACCTGAAAAAGGAGTGACTTCCACCTGCTATGTGACCCTCCCTCCTGGGGCTTGGGTGCAGGCATAGTGTTGGAGCCCAGGGGAGGTGTTCCAAAGTCCCTGGGGAAGGCCAAGAAGGCTTTTCAGAGGAAGGACAGTTTCCCAGTGGACAAGTAGTGGACATGTAGACGTGGAAGCCACAGGGATAGGAGTGTCAGCCAGGAGCAACTGTGAACCACTGTAGGTTCCTGCTCAGCCCAGGTGTCGTGTATGTGCCAGGTACAAAGGGGAAGCTGACTGAGGAGTAGGAGTAGAACTGAGAAGGCATCAAGATGAGTCTAGGTGCCAAGAAAAATGTTGTTGGGGGGAAAATGTGAAACAAAAGTGGGGGTAAGGGGTAAGAGCAGGCTGATGGTTCTGGTAGACATTGAGACTGTGGCTCTCAGTCACCCTCAAACTAGAACTGAACTCATCCATGGCCCAACTTTTAGATGAACAGTGTTCTTTTTCAATGCCATCGAGTTGACTATCACTCATAACAACCCTATGAACAACAGATCTGAACCATCCCACCATCACTGTGTCAATCCATCTTGTTAAGGGTCTTTCTCTCTTTCTCTGCCCTTCTGCCTTTCCCAGCAGGGTGTCTCTCTCCAAGGATTGGTTCCTCATGAGAATATGCCCAGAGTAAATGAGACAAAGTGTCACCATCCTAGCCTCTAGGCAGCACTCTGTCTGCTTGCACTTCCTTCAAGACAGAATAGTTCATTCTTTCTGGCGGTTCATGATCTATTCAATACTCTTTGCCAGTACCACAATTCAAAGGCATTCATTCATCTTCAATCTTCTTTATTCATAATCCAACTTTCAGATGCATAAGAAGCAATAGAAAATACCATGGCTTGGATCAGGTGCACGTTAGTTTTTAAACTGACATCCT